ATATTCTAATTACCATTATTTTGAACACTAAGTAAAAATTATAATCTGATTAGCACTTATTTTTTGAGAACTTGGTACATGCCAGACACAGATTCTCATAGCTATGAGATCATTAAAATTAACTATTTTACAAAAAGTCATACTCAGCTAACTGGGTTAAAAAAAAAGATTCAAACCCAGTCTGGCAACTCAGAAACTATACTCTTTATTGACCTCATTCTGCCCCATATTTCTCTTGATTGTTGGAAATTTAGCATTGTTCATGCTATTTGCATGGCTCATAATGTGCTAAGATGCTATCTTTTTCTAAAATGCAGCAATGGAAATATAGAAATTGTTTGCCTGCTCAGGACTGATTTTCAATGGTTTCTGAAATAAAAAATAAAAAACCTTCCTTTTTTTCTTTTATTTCCTTCCAGAGCCCATTTAATTCATGGATTCCTCCTTTCTCTGGGATTCTACAACAGCAGCAAGCTCCGATTCCAGGACTCTCCCCATTCTCCTTAGCAACTCTAGACCAGGTTGCTAGACTGTTCCCAAATCAGATAACTTTCCCAGGACAGGTCAGCTTTGCCCAGGGAAACCAGGTGGGACAACTGGACCCCTCACAGCCTCAAGCACCAGTGCAGGCCCACCAGGGCCCTAATAATGTAAGTCAGACCTCTTCAATCTTGAGATAATGTGCATTGAATGTAAAAACAAATATGAATCAGCTTTAAAATAAGACAACAGTTATTGAGCAAGGATTCTTCCCCACAATATGTTTCTACCATCACAGGAAGTTCCTTATCTTTTCTGATTCCTAACAAGAAAAATATCATTTAAACCAACTATTGTATGAAAATAGCCACAAATAAAAAGAGTTAAAACATGTTTTAGAAAATATAATTGGGGGGGGGAACAATTTGCCTTTATGATAATGCATATAGTAGATGGCCTTTTATTGATTGTCATAGAAGTCTACTAATATATAAATTTGTATGGAGGGATTGAGAAAGAAAAAGAGAGAACATGGACATGGACAACAGCGTGGTGACTGCAGGGGTGGAGGGGGATGGGTGGAGATGGTAGAGGGCATAGAGGGAATAAAAGTTGATGAAATATTAAATTTAATTACATTTTTTTTAAAAGTCAAGTAAAACTTTTTTATGATTTCTTTTTTGGCAGGCGATGCCCTATGTGTTCTCCTTTAAAATGCCTGAAGAGCAAGCCCAGGTAAATAAATAAGATATCATCGCTCCTATGGCTACTAACCCTTGCCATTGAATGAATGCTTTCTTTTACATTTGTAGCTCTGACTCCTGTAGCAGGGCTATAAAAACCCATCCAATGATATCACTGTCTAGCTGCTATCGCTGGGTTGGCATCAGTTTGTTAATGTCAGACTCACTCAATAACTCCTGAAGAAAGACCAGCTAAGAAGAGTCTTCAGGACTCCTAGTTCCCAGGGCACTACCATGTTAGGAATAAAGGAGCTCACTAAACCCTCGCTTATGTC